CTTGTATTTATCTATACTATATATAACAAATTTTTATTTTCAACTTACCCAGTAATTCTTCCAATTACCATTCCAAAGTGCAGGTGCAAATGACCGTACTGGATTTATACTACATCCGGTATAAGGACACTAGAAAGATTGAAAAGAATAAATTATTTTAATTTCATATTCAATCAATATTTATAAAATAATTTTAAAGACAATTAAGTCACATGACAACACGTACCATAATTATGAAGTTCACCGATAGATCGAAGGCAAGTGTCATTTGTAGCGCCGAAGGTGCGGATCCCATAGAGCCAACACTCCTCATACAACCGATATACAGGAATATTGCTGTGCCGATTTCCGCCGCTAACATCGTCATCGTATTCTCCTGTAGCTTCCATATTCCGCCTGTAAAAATTCGTACAAGCGGATTTTGATATCTAAATAAATAAATGAATCTCAACAATGATGAACAATGATGATTTGTGCTGCATGATGAGATCACTGCCGCGTCTGAATTTACTATGATTATTACTTTAATGATCTGTGCAAACTATCACGAATCGTATTGCATCGCTATTCTTTGTAAGGGTATAAAAAAGAATGCGATGTCTTATCGATAGATACGTTAAGTGTTTCGTAATTAAATCACTGGTTGATGTACTGCATATACGAAGAATACACGTGTCCACGATATCACATCATTTCTTTAAACTTTGGTAGAAATATAGCGGATATTTTACATTCAAATATAATATCAAATAATCTCTTTGATATGTCAAAAGCATATTTTAGTTGTACAAATCTACTCACGTTCACCCTCTGAAAGAACTCTTTACTCCTTCAGACGACATGGAAGAATAAAGCTCCGACTTAGAGAGTCTAAAGCTACCATCATCATAGCGCATGCGTCGCCGCTAAAATTGCATGCGTTTTCCTCACCATTAAAACTTTCCATAATTCTCGCAGATTGCTCGCGAAGAGATCATCGCAAAAAGATACGAATTATGCACGCAAGCGCTCACGATTGATTCTCGCTGGTCACGCTCGTGTCCATCAGTCGTTGAAAATATTTGTACAGTTAATATATATATTCTACATAAAAACAAACTAAAAATTCCTAAATCGATGTCGATGGAAGACTTTACGCTATTTCGAAATCACAATTATAAGACCGACACTGAGTATGTGGTGAAGGTGGCCAAGACTTTATTAACACCTGTAGGTATTTGGCCGCTCTATCGAGGTAATTCCAAGTCGGACAAAATCAAAAATTACCTCCAGACAGGCGTAATATTCGGATTGATGTGCTATCTACTTATCCCACACGTCATATACACCTTTTTCGATGCAGAGGATCTGACAAGATACATGAAGGTTGTAGCCGCTCAAGTGTTCAGCCTACTTGCCATTATTAAATTCTGGACAATGATTATTAATAGAGAAGAGATCAGATACTGCCTGCAGCAAATGGAAATGCAGTATAGAGACGTGGAGTGCGAGGAAGATCGGTTGGTGATGATGAAGAGCGCCAAGATTGGCAGACTCTTCACGGTAACATACTTGGGATTATCATACGGCGGCGCGTTGCCTTATCATATAATTATGCCGCTGCTGGAGGATAGAATTGTCAAAGAAGACAATACGACACAAATACCTCTACCCTACCTTAGCGACTACGTTCTTTTTGTAGTAGAAGATTCGCCGTTCTATGAGATTACCTTTGTTTCGCAAATTCTGATCAGCAGCATTATCCTCTCCACGAACTGTGGTGTTTATAGCTTGATTGCTACCTGTGTGATGCACAGTTGCTGTTTGTTCGAAGTCGTGCGCAGACAGATGGAAACAGTCCTCGACAATGGAATCAATAATCTTCACAAGCGATTTGGGAGAGTAATCGAGCATCATATGCAGGCCATCAAGTGAGAAAGTTTTAATTTACGTCTTATATTAGTATCTCTGTAAATGTCCTCATTATATCCTCGTTAAATCACATGCAATATGCAATTATATATTAAGACAAAGAAAGAAAAACGTGTCATAATTTATATCAGTTTTTATGTTCA